CCCCCTCCCCCGCAGGTGATAAGGCTTTTATAAGTAAGCGATGTTAGTGAATACTTAGTGACATGAAATACCCAATTAAAGCAAAAATCAGATTTTCGGCTCGCAGCTGATTGGACGATGAAAGTGAACACATCGGAGTGACGGCCGCAGGCGGGAGATTCCGCGACCGCTGAAGCTGTGAGAATACGGAAACATTGTAACCAAAACTTTCCTTCCTTTTTTTTTTTGGTGGCTGAAAGGAAACAAAGTTGCGTCACTCTTTCCCTGCTCAGCCGCGTTTAACCCCGTCACCGCCGGTTAGGCGCTCGCCACGCCTGGTTCTTTCACTCCGTTGTCAGGTGACGGCTGCACGCCGGGCAGCCCCGGGAGCCGGTGACGAATGAAAACGAATCGTTAGCGATAATCTGGGAACGAACTTTCAGTTGCGGCAAAACAATCGCATTCTGCCGCGTGGATGACGCTTTTCTCTCCGTCCGGCAGGAAGTTCTCTGACCAGCGGGAGCAGACGGAGGATTTCCTGCAAGGATCTCGGCCACGGCGACTGTGAGGGATGGCTCTGGAAGAAGAAAGACGCCAAAGGTTACTTCACCCAGAAGTGGAAGAAGTATTGGTTCATCCTGAAGGATTCCTCCCTCTACTGGTACACCAACCAAAACGTGAGTCACCGCTCTCTGACCGTCTCCTGTAGTATGTCTTCAGTCTCTGACCATCTCCTGTACTATGTCTGCAGCCTCTGACCGTCTCCTGTAGTATGTCTGCAGTCTCTGACCATCTCCTGTACTATGTCTGCAGTCTCTGACCGTCTCCTGTAGTATGTCTGCAGTCTCTGGCCATCTCCTGTAGTATGCCTGCAGCCTCTGACCATCTCCTGTAGTATGCCTGCAGTCTCTGGCCATCTCCTGTAGTATGCCTGCAGTCTCTGACCATCTCCTGTAGTATGCCTGCAGTCTCTGACCGTCTCCTGTAGTATGTCTGCAGTCTCTGACCGTCTCCTGTAGTATGTCTGCAGTCTCTGACCATCTCCTGTAGTATGTCTGCAGTCTCTGACCATCTCCTGTAGTATGTCTGCAGTCTCTGACCATCTCCTGTAGTATGTCTGCAGTCTCTGACCATCTCCTGTAGTATGTCTGTAGTCTCTGACCATCTCCTGTAGTATGTCTGTAGTCTCTGACCATCTCCTGTAGTATGTCTGTAGTCTCTGACCATCTCCTGTAGTATGTCTGTAGTCTCTGACCGTCTCCTGTAGTATGTCTGTAGTCTCTGACCATCTCCTGTAGTATGTCTGTAGTCTCTGACCGTCTCCTGTAGTATGTCTGTAGTCTCTGACCGTCTCCTGTAGTATGTCTGTAGTCTCTGACCATCTCCTGTAGTATGTCTGTAGTCTCTGACCATGTATATTTGTCAGTCTCTGCCGGTGTTCTCTCTGAGGGGAGGTCACACGTAGGGAAGAGCCGCCCATTGAGGTGACATTCCGTCTGATTTCCTCTCTCTCTCTCCAGGACGAGAAGGCCGAGGGGTTCATCAGCCTCCCGGAATTCAGGATAGATCGCGCCATCGAATGCCGGCGGAAACAGTAAGTAGACAGACGCGCCGCTTCCCATCACCCGCATATAGCGGAGCGCAGGAACGTCACTCGGCGGGATCCAACGTGTCATTACAGGAGGTGACACTGATTATAGATATTCCCGTGTATGGTGTCAGCGGGGAAACTACATATCACATCTGTCTGCACGTCACATACACTATATCGCCAGAAGTACTGGGTCGCCTTCACACGCACATGAACTCTAATGGCCCCCCAGTCTT